TTCTTGGTTAGATCTTCGATCTTACGCTCGGGTGTTGAATCCGAGTTCTTTTCCCTTTCCGTTATTCGATGCAAGTTCTTGGTTATCGGCGATGCAGCTTTTTTAAGAAACCTGGCAAACTTTTTGTTCGGGACCTCCTTCGATGCGGTGTCAGGCTGAATGTTTCATGTGACAATCAGTTTTCATCAGGATTTAAAGGCTCAATTTGTGATTCAATGAGATGCGTGAATCACTCCTCAATACATACCACCTTTGCTTTATTGACCCCCTGACCTACGAGCAGCGTCCCATCTTCACGTGCATCTCCTGATGATGCTTCGAGCGTCTTATCATCGTCATCATTATTATTATCACCATCATTAGTATTATTTTTATTAATATTATTGTTATCATCACCCTGCTTTATCAGAGTGTTCTATAATTAACATTCGGAAAAGGTTTTCATTGTTATTCTAATTATATCTTGCAAAAAGGAGAAAAAAAAAAACCAGAAACAAAAAACGTGAAAAATACTCACGTTTTTTAACAGCAGCTCGCAATCTATTTTCTTTTCTCGAACAAACTATCGAAACGATCGATTGAAGATTAGTCATATAGTAAGTGCCATTTACGACGACCTGGAATGCATCATCGAAACATACCTCACGAAAGCTTTCGATATTATCGGTCAATGTATTATTAAGACGGTCGTCAATTTGTTGGATCAACTTTTTTTTCGAAATAAAAAACAACATTGTGAAAGTGAGTTGGTGTATATGAATCGTTTCCCGAGACTTCCGATCATTCCTAATTACCTCCTTCACTCGTCGGTTATTCTCCTGACTGAGATCGGTGTTCAGGTTGACCGACATCACATTATCAAATTCTTTCAGCAGATTATCTACCCATCTTTCCAAGCTCTCATTTTCTCGGCAATCCTCCTTGGCTTTCGTGGTCGACTCACAGTATGCCGTGGACTTTTTTGCTGATGGCATACAAATGGCGGAATCCAGTCGCAGGCGCTGTGGATGACATTGAACAGGCTTTGATGAGGGAATTTGATCTTGTCCAGATGCAAATTGCCTTTGTTGTAGAAAGTCAGCCATTTTCACCGGAAATTCTGGAGAATGGAATCGATTGGAATGGGAAACCAGTATCGTTGAGTCATCAATCGTGTGTTGCTGTATCAGTGACATGCCCAAAAATAGGTCCTCCGTATTTCCCTCTCTATTCTAACCTTTCCTTTCTGAATTTTTTTTTTTTCTATAACTTTGTTGTCGGATGATGTTTATGACGATGGACAGATCCCGCTGATATACGTGCAATGAAAACTGTAGTTTGAAGAAGATAGAAAACACTGGGACCTTGTGAAACAAATGATAGATGATGTCTAGGTTAATGGGTTAAAAAATAAGCGATCGAAATAGAAAAGGAAAAAAAAAGTTAGATCTCAAATAAGAAGGAAAAAAAAAAAAAAAACAAGGTTCGCTTAAGGGCTAAATACTCGATGAATTCAAAACCACAAATTTTAAAAATAGAGCACTTTGATATAATGTGTATGTATATGCAAAAGGAATTTTTAAGACGAGTGATTGATGAATGATGATATATACAAATAGTGATTAATTGATGCGAATAAAGATTGAGGTTGCGCGAGCAATTATTAAATAAAAGGCTCCTGATGAACGAGCTAGCCAAATCAAAACTAAATAGGCGTAGATCCGAATATTCTCTCTCACTAAATAAATGAAGGCATTGATTTTAACAATTTAAATATGGCCATGGAAACTCCGAAACGAGGAGCCATCATACTTCTATTAATAGGCTGCATGTGAATAAAAAGTTTATCGTCTTTCTGCTTCAAAAAAAAAAAAAGATCTTGACTTCGCGAGACAAATAAAAAAGAAAATGTACAGGTAAAAAAGAATCGCGTACGTGTGACAACGAGTTAATGATACATATGAAAATGTGCATCGTGCGAAGAGTGCCAAGGCACACACATTGGTGGTATGTTGAAGAAGGACGGTACGATTGTGTACGATTTCAAACATAAAAAATGTTACGTTTGCGTCGACAAAATTCCATCCTTTATGGCTCACCTTTTTTTAATGCCTTGTCTATTCGTAATCAGTTGGTTAATAAGAAACTTTAGATTCAACGCTGATAGAGAATGAGGACAGAAAAAGAAACAAAGAAAAAGTAACGAATTTAAAAAAAATGAAATACGTAAATTAAAAGGAAAATACTGTATGAATATAAAAGGGTGAGATGACTACATACACCGCACCGATTATTTTAATTAATACAGTAAAATAATGTTGGGTCAGTTGAGCGAATCAGGACACCCACGCAGGCGAGCACAAAGTCAGGCGGGCGAGAATGAAATCGGAAACACTAGTTAAGCCCTAAAAATAAAATTCGCTGATGCGAAGACTTAAAGAATCATTCTAAATAAGTCGCTACTAGGCTAAGCAAATTCTAGATATGTACGCATCGGCCCTCCGTTCTACGGTTACAAGGTTACAAACACGAATATAATCAGGGATGCGTAATTACAACAGCTCGTGAACGTTGTCAAAATTTGGAAGATCTAAAATAGCAACTACGAATAAATCCACAATCCGAGAATCTATATTACCTTGTACGTACGTAAACATTGTTACTTGATTTGTGCCAACATCCAAAAAAAGGAGATGTCCGAAGTTCGAACGTCTAAAAACATTCACAACAAGATTCTTAATGAACTATCCGTGATGAAATGGAATATCTTATCAAAAATGTCCTTTATAATTTCCATTATTGGATCGGTCAATAAAAGAAAAAAAATAAGCGAAACGGTGAAACCATTGTCCAGTTGATAATTCTCTATTGTCCCTCTAGACTTACTGTACACTGTATATATAATAAGTTCATGCAACATGTCATTGCATACGAAAATGTTCATTGAAGCCGGAGGGAAAATCGTAATCGTGCTGTTACGTATGCACATAGCGAGGCGTATGCGACCTACTACGCACATACTGTACTTATTTCCTTGGGAAAATGTTCAAGTGCGCACGTACTGTACGTATGTATGTACGTATGTATGAACGTATTACTGTACATACAACCCCGCCCATCTTTTCAAAACGGGTGTAATTACCGGATAAACGAGTTTCTCCAAGGTGTGGAAAAACTTTACCCACTGCCTCATTTTGGAATATCATTCACTTGACTTATAAGATTAGTTCAAAGAGACCAAAGTCATCCGCGAGGTGGTTGATTAGAGACTGAGGCGATGCGTGAATGCGAGAATCAGAGAGTGAGGCGATGCGAATGGAATCACAAAGAACATTTTCAATTGTGGCTGTTTTGATGTGATCAGATGCGAACGCATAAAGCAATTCAATCAATACTAAAACGCGTAATACGTAACGGCAGGGTTTTTCTTCCCATGCAGGAGAGTGCATAGATATTCTTGCTTTTCCCCTAGTTTTTCTTCTACTAATCGGGTTGGCCATTTTAAATCAAGAATTAACGTCCCCCTCGCTTGGCAAAGATGCTGCTGACGTTATGTCTAGCTCGCAATGAAAAACTTTATGAAACAATTAATTTGGGAGTTTGTTATTGTTGATCCAGTAAACCTTATCATGTTTCAAGTCCCTGAACAAAAATATTTTGTTCGTCCCGTATAAGACTTACTTATTTCAGATTCAATGAGAAAAACTTCACGGGATGCTGATAAGTTATTTTTGGCTTGGAAACGATACAAATATAAACTTCCATGTTACTCAAATCTCCCGCGCCTTTACCAATAATATCATGAATCACTTCACATTGGATTTTTTGCAAACGACACTGGATTTCCGATTTCCCAATTTTATTTCAGCGTTGTACCACCTTCTCAAAGGCAACTCTTTTGACAAGAATCAAGAAAACCATCGCCTCGCCAAATAAATTTTGCCATTGTTGCGTCATTTTTCTCATATAACGACCATGAGTATACAATAGATGTTAATATTATTCGGACTTATAATATTGTTCACCTCTGCAACAATTCCATTACATTAAATTGAGTTTCATCAATACTCAATAATTTATCCCGGAAAGAAAGGGAAGCTTATATACAACGGTCGACACTTGCATGCATTAAAACTAACAATGGACTAAAAATCACTTGAAAATTAATCTAACACTGTAGATACTGTGCACAGTACATAAGAGTTTTTTTTTTTTCACCATGTATTTTTGCACGCAAATAATCAATAATTAATATTCTTAATGATTCTATTTAAAAATAACATTTCAAACTATTCCAACTACAAGTTTCTAAAATTAAATCCGTATTAAAACCTATCATGTTTTCTTCATCTATTGTTCTGATCAATCCATTGTTAATAGTAAATAACCATAACATCATTGGTAAAAAATTTTTAATTAAACTTTGACAGAAAAAAAACAAAAAGGAAAGAATAATGTATTAAAAGAGATTGTACAAGAGAAAGAAAAAATAAGAAAACAACAACAATAATAATGATAAATAAATAAAATGAAAAATGAAAAAATATAAAATATAAACAACTATATTCACAACCTCACATCTCAATCCCCGAAACCACTCGACCAAGCAATATCAAATAA